TATTGAGGTTAGTTGTCAGGTTTTTTCTCCGTTTTTCTCTCTAAAACAAAACAAGGTAAACAGTAAAAACTGAGGGGAAACTAATTTTGAAGTTTCGAAGAAACAGAAAGTCGTATGAGATGTTTTTTTTCAAAATTAAACAGAAGGATGATGGTGATTGAAATTAGCATAATTTCACCTTGCAGGAGCTGCACGCATTTATAAAATACACGTCATCTAATTATGAAACACGATCTGCTGTCTTTTAGTTTCGCGATGGATGACATGGATGAGATTTTCCTTCGTGTTTTAGACAGTATATAGTTGTTTTTGTTTTGGAATAACATCAACATTGGCGAGTAGTAGAACGAAAATATAATTCAGTGGTAGAGTCATGGAAGTAATAAGAGAAACCCTTTGAAAGAGATGTTTGTCTACTCCAACTAAACCTCCCGCAAAATAGCAACATTTGCCTCTCGGAGACAGCGTACCAGCACAAAGGAACGAGGAAGAAGTGCAAGAAAACAAATCAAGCCGCCATATTTCAGTGACAGCGGCAGTGTCTAATGGACAAACCACATCGCAAGCCCTGACCAAAGTCGAAAACAAGCGACATTTCTAAACAAAGCCCAGTCCACTGCATCACACCTTTTTGCTCGGACGCGCTCGTTTCACCGCCCAACCTTTATCCGCCCTGATCATGCCATATCTCAACTATTGTTATCTCTCATGGCATTTCTGTAAAGCGTCGGATACAAGAAAGGTTGAAAGAATTCAAGAGCGGGCACAAAGGATAGTTTATAACTCGCATTCAGAAACGTATATGAACTTATTAGATCGTGCTAAACTACCAAGCCTTCTTAACAGGAGATTACAAGACATAGTTATACTCACGTACAAGGTTAAATATAGGCTAGTTCCTGATTTCCTTTGTGACATTTTCAGTTCTAAGTCTCGTAAATATAATTTTAGAAACCCAAATTTCGATATTCCTAGATTTTATTCTGTATTGTATGGTAAACACTCTCTTAGATATATTGCACCCTTTTTATGGAACAAGCTAGATAAAAACATCACTGAAACGAGCAGCCTATCTAGGTTTAAGTTTCATATTAGATGTAAGGATCTTACTGAAGTGATAAATAGCAACAATTGCCCCGCATGCGTAATTTGTACCTCTTAAGTTGTGCCCGTGTTCCTAGAATTGTTTTGATTATTTTAGCATATTGTAAATGTATATATAATATATATAGGATTATACTATAGCTTACTATAGCTTTATGTATCATATTATTCATTATTTATTTTATCTTTATGTTGTGTCTTCAATTAGTGTCAGCTAAATACATCGACACATGAATAAAGTTCATCATCATCATCATCATCATCACTTAAGAAACCATTTGCGTTATCTACTGGATAGAGATTTATCTAGGGGATAACGCTTCCACCTGTTCAACAACTGGGACTTGGCCGATAACTCTAACCTATTTTATTGTTTTGTTTGTATCTGTAAAATCAAGGTTAACAAAAAAAGTTAACAACGAAAAGGCGCAGACTCCAGTGGGGTACGTGCAGCAACACTGAATGGCCCAGTATTTAACTTCTTTAAGAGCTCGTTTTAGTAGACTGAGAGATCGAGTTACTCACTGGACAAGTATAAGAAGTAATGAACTGGGCCGCACAATAAGAGCTCGATCTGGTCGACGTATCGAACCTCAGCATGGGTTGAGCGAAAGCGGAACAGAATGACTTGCAAAGTGCACGTCATTTAAGTCAAATTGCTGACCTGCGACGAAAGCTTAGTGCACAGAGAGAGGACGCAAGGAGGTCGGAAGAACAAAGGGTTGCCATGGCAAGGGACTATTTAAATCAGATCACGGAAGTGGCAAAAGAGTCGAGTTTAAAAGACGAGGAATTACGAAAGTTGAGAGAGCAATATAGAAGAAGAGGTCAGATAGATCAAGCTAACAATTTGCAACAAAGAGATCGTGACTGGGTTATCAATCAGAATGAAGTTAATGTTCAAATCAGAAGAGACCAGAACCTTGGGAAGGAGCGTGGGGAACTGTCTATCGTGGGAAATTTCGTGGATGCAGGGGCGGATCCAGGATTTTTTTCAGGAGGGGGTGCACTCGTCTCTTCCAATAAACCACATAGTTTTTTTTTGCAGAATACCAGTTGTATTAGAAAACCGCAGGTCATCTCAGGGGGGGGGGGGGGGGGGGGGGCCCCCCCATGCCCCCCCCCCCTAGCCCCCCCCCTGGGGTTGGTTGGCGTCGTAAGGGAAATGCCCCGGGATTTTTTTTTTGTTATAATTTTGAAATCTTTCTCGGGAGGGGGTAAAAGGGTTTCGGGAGCCCCCCCCCCTTCCTTTTTGAATTTTTTTTGTGCACACCACTGAG